GGCTACCTGCTGCCAGGGGCTTCCATGCTGCTCCTGCTCAGGTCAGCATGGTTCATGTCTAGTCCTGTCCTGGCCAGCCTCCAGGCTTCTCTTTAAGACCCTACCTTCAATTTTCCCTCAGGAATCAGAGGGGATCCCTGGCAGCATTGTGTTTCCTACACGACACCGGGGCTGGTATGGGAACACTGATTCCTTTAGTGAATCCTTGGTCATGGCCCTGCCTCTCCTGGCTTCAGGGTTCTCCTGGTCACAGTGTGAGCTGGGATGGTGGAGGGCTGGCTGGCAGCATGCTTAGCTATGGCTTTGTTTTGAATGGACCAGAGCTGGTGCCGAGTGGCGGCGGCCAGTGGCTGCTTGGCTGTGTTGATCTCGGCTGTGTGTGATCTGAGTATCAAGTATCCTCGAGAGCTGATCCAGGAGAGGGCTTGGTGCAACATTGTGGCCTGCTCTTCAACTCCCAGTGTGCTATCATTGGGGGACTGCATAACAGCTCTGTGTTTGTGTGTGTGTGTGTGTGTGTGTGTGTGTGTGTGTGTGTGGCTCTGCATAACAGCTCTGTGTTTGTGTGTGTGTGTGTGTGTGTGTGTGTGTGTGTGTGTGTGTGTTTGTGTGTGTGTGAGAGAGAGAGAGAGACTGACTAGACAGACAGGGTCTCACTATGTAGCTCTGACTGGACAGGCTGGCCTTGATCTCAGAGAGATCTGCCTTTGTCTGGGATTAAAGGTGTGCACCATCATACCTGGCCTTAAAAGTTGTCCCCCTCCTTCTGCCATGTAGGTCCCAAGGAGTGAGCCCACATTGTCAGGCTTGGTGGAAAGCACATTCTCCTGCTGAGCCATCTCACCAGCCCTCTTTATTTTTTTAAATTTTAAGACAGAGTCTCATGTAACCCAGGCTGACCTCAGATGTGCTGCCCCCACTTCCCAAGTGCTGGGGTGAGAGACATATACCACACAGTGGGCTCAGTGGGCTGCTCTAATACCGTTTTTGTTTAGTTTTGTTTTGTTTGGTCTTTTTGAGAAGGGTATCTCCACCTGGCCTGGAACTTGCTTTGTAGACCAGTCTGGCCTTGAACTCAACAGAGATTCACCTGCCTCTGCCTCCCAGTGCTAGGATTAAAGGCACGCCCCCCCCCACTTGTTTGTTTTTTGAAATGAGTCTTATTGTAACCCCGGATGTCACAGAGATCCACCATTTTCTGCTTCTGTGACAGACTAACACTTCTTTTACTGCTCTGTCATTACCTGTGGTTCATCTCTCTGTTGCCAGATCAGCAGGTTTTGCCCTATGGGAGCTATGCATATGTAGGAAAGCATCAGGACACAGTGATTCCAGGACGAGAAAGAGGGTTCAGAGTTGGACACATACAGATAAGAGGCAGCTTAGGTATATTCAACAAGGAAAATTTTCTGTAAATCCCAGAATAGGGAAAGTGGGACAGAGAAACTGGGTGCACTCATTGCTTGGGTGTGTTTCTTTGTTGTTTGTTTTTTTATTTTTTTAATGTGTATGAGTGTACTACCTTCATGTGTGTAAGTGCCCATGTGTTGTGCAATACTCGCAGAGGTCTGAAGAGGGCATTGGATCCTCTGGAACTGGAATTATGGACAGTTGTTAGCCGCCATGTGAGTGCTAGGAACTGAACCTGAGTCCTCTGCAAAAGCAACCAGTCCTCTTAACTGCTGAGCCAGCTCTCCAGCCCTTGCTTGGGCCTCTTGTGGAAGAGCTGAGCTGCTTTAGGGAAAGGAGATGGGGTAAGCTGGGTGTGCTGGCACATGCCTGTGACTGCGCCCCCCCCCCCCCCCCCATGCTCAGGAGGCAGTGGCAGAAAGATGAGTTTGAAGCCAGCCTGAGCTACACAGACCCTGCTTGAAAAACTAGAAAGAAGCTGGACGTGGTGGTACATGCCTGTTCTCCCAGCACTCAAGAGGCAGAGGCAGGCAAATCTCTGTGAGATTGAGGCCAGCCTGGGCTGCATAGCGAGTTCCAAACCAGCTAGAGCTACAGGGAGACCCTGCCTCAAAAAGTCCAAACCTGAATAAACCCGGGAAGGCCTGGGTCAGCCCCTCAGTGGTGAGCTCTCAAACCTGCACAAGATGTGGTGACCAGTGGACAACAGATAGGGACCATCCATGTATGAGGCCAGGCCAGTTCATAACCTGGGTTCCTGGCCTGTGCCCTTCCTTCTCCAGTGACTGCCTGTCCCTGTCATAAAGGCCTGAGACTTGCTAGTGGGTGGACACGGCTGAGTAGGAACTGGATCTCTTCCTCTGCGTGTCTCAGGGCTATCTGTGGTCAGTCAGGCCAGCAGTGTTTGCAGCTTGGTCCTGAGAAATCAGGTTTTAGTAAGAGGTCTGGAAGGGCCTTCCAGCACCTGGGAGATGGAGGGCAGGAGATCTCGAGTCTCAAGAAACCAGGGCCTCATGTCCTGCTTGCCTCACTTGAACAGGGCCCTGAGTGCTGTCCCCAGCACATGGGCAGGCTGACTGCAGAGTTGCCCCTGTGCTGGCGCAAAGGCTGCCACAATGCATTTCCAACTTGGGTTTTCTACCCCAGTGCTCCATGGACCCTGGGGACTCGTGTGCTAGGCTGGCGCTGTGCTACTGAGCCATGGTCAGCCCCTCAGTGGAGACACTGGACATGAGACCCTGGGTGCTGAGGGCTGGACCTGTAAGGCCAGGCTAGGTGGTATCTTCCTTCTTTCATTCTCATCCCCCTTCCCTTTCCCTTTCCCTTTCTCTTCCCCCTCCCCCTCTCCCTTCCCCTTCCCCTTCTGTGCTGGATAGCTTTAGTGTCACCTTGATACACCTTGGGTTGAGGAGCCTCAATTGGGGAATTGCCTCTATTGGACTGGCCTGTGGCCATGTCTCAGGGACATCTTGGTGAGTGATGTGGGAGAGCCCAGCCCACTGTGGGTGATGCCACCCCTGGGCAAGTGGGCCTGTGTTGCATAGAAAGCAGGCTGAGCAGGGGCCAGGGGAGCAAGCCAGTAAGCAGCATTCCTCCATGGCCTGTGCTTTTCATACCTTGGGCTCCCTGATGAAGTGCGACCTGTGAGATGTATGCCTAATAAACCCTTTCCTCCCCAAGTTGGTATTGGTCCGAGTGTTTTGTCACAGCAATGGAGAAACAAACTAGGACCCCTTCCCTTCCCTTTCTCTCTCTCTCTGGTTTTTTTTTTTGAGATAGTGTCTAATGTATCCCACGCAGCTAACTTGAACTTCATGCAGCTTGAATGAGCTTGAATCCATCTGACTACACCCTTGAGTCCTGGTGTGACAGATATGTGCCACCAGGTCTGGCTTTATTTTGACAGGGTGTTATGTAGCCCAGACTGGCCTCAAACTTGTGCCAGTCCTCCCTCTGCCTTCCAAGTGCTGGGCATTTCCTAGGCCTTTCCAGACATTTAAGCTTTAGGTGACCAGAGCTGTGGGTGCCATAGAGCCTTGGGAACTGCCTGGGACAAGAGCCCTGTCCCCAGAGCCTATGACCTTCTGAATGAGACGAGTAGGTGCCCACCATAGGGTGTGATTAGGGGTCCAGGCTGCTCTGTCTGCTACAGGTGGGTGCACTGTCTTTCCCAGGCATTTTGCAGGAGAGGCTGTGGTGACCTTGGGACCAGGCTCATCCTGGGGAGAGCAGGGAGACTAATGTGCTCCAGCAGAAACAGCACAGAAACGTGTGTGTGTGTGTCTGTGTGTATACATGCATACATGTATGTGTGCACATATTTGAGTGTATGTGTGGTCCCCAGTGACCATGTTGTTACACAGTGGCCAGGGAGATGTGCAGCAACTGGTGCCCTGTCTGTCCTACTCAGTGCTGTGTGGCTTCCTGGGGAGTCCTGAGAGACTTCTGTCTGCTCACACCAGATGGCACCAAAGACAGACTAAAGCAAGGGACCCACACAGTCTGCTTGAATCGTTGGGGGGGTCACTCACAGAAGTGTGGGAGCTGTCACTGGGGGTTACTCACTGGAGTATGGGGACTGTCACTAGGGATATAGCAGGTGCTCCTTTTGTTTATTCTTGGGTAGGAGTCTTGCAAATCTTGGAAGTTTCCTGTGCCTTGTGGGGCATACCTCCACAAGCCTCTGTGCATGAGGAAACCTCGTTGTCTAGACAGGGTCATGGTGTACACAGGGAGGCTGTGTGGGCTATATTGAGTGTTCCCTGTCACCCATGGCCTGTAGTCTGTGTCTGAAGAGCAGAGCTTTGTGCAATCAGGATAGGGTGTTTGAAGGTCCTGGCTGATGGGAACATGGCCATGGACATGAGTGTTGTGGGCAACTGTAGTACCTGGAAAGATGGGTGTGCTGACTGCCTTCTGCCAGTCCAGTTCCTGGTCTAGGAGCCTGGGCTCTGGGAAGCCCAGGCATGGCCATTTGCATGGTACCATTGTTAATGCGGGCGGCCTGTGGCCTCCTCATCCTGCAGCCTGCCGTCATGGTGGGGCTGGGTCCTGCATGCTCTCAGGAGGATGTATGGTGACTGTGAAGGTGGCTCGCTTGCTAGGGTCACTGGTCAGGGCTTGCCTCACTGTCCAGGGAATGGGAGACACATCCGCATCCTCCTCATCTTTGCACCCTGCTGTCTGTGGTCCACAGCCTTGTGCTGTCTTGTGCTTCAGGGGTAAGGTCTGGCCTTGGATAATGATGCTGGGTGGGGCATGTCCTGGGCCTGGGAGGCCTTGTGTACACACTGCCTAGTGGCTGTGATGGCTGTTTCCCAGTTTATCGGTGGGGATGAAGACTTGGAGGGGCTCTGACTTACCTGAACCTGCCCCTGGGGTTTGTTTGCAGGGAGGCAGAGCACAAAGCCAGGCTCTAGCTTGGAGGAGCACATGTGGTACAGGGAGGCAACAGGTGCTGTGGTTGGGCGGAGGTGGGGGGGCAGGGGATCCTGCGGAGAAGAGGGCAGGTTTGTGGAGTGTGTCACAGGAGAGGGGTGGGTGTCACTGTGTATCATTGGGGACCAACTCTGTGACCTGTTTTCTCTTAGGATAAGCACCATGATGCTGCGCACGAAATCATTGAGACCATCCGGTGAGTGTGGCCTGCGTGAGCCCTAGCATGAGGTGTGGTCTGTGGGCAGGATCAGGACTTGGTTTCTGGGGTTCACAGCCCTGATCCCCATGCTCACAGGGGCCTCCTCAGGGAGTGGCAGTGGAGCCCTCAGCAGATGTGGCAAGGCCACGGGCAGCAGCGAGTCCCGAGCACAGACCTTGCCGTGCAGTGCTCATCAGAGAAAACTTCAGCTGTTTTCCCTGCTTTCCAGCTTTGAGATTCATACTCACACGGTGCGAAGAGATGGAAACCCTGGGCTGGCGGGGCTTTGAGGGTGTTCTTCCGCCCTGTTTCCCCTTCATCATCAACCCTCCTTTGGGTTTGCTGACTAGCCTCATCCTAGTCTGGCATCCCAGCTTTTATGTGCTGGTGGAGGAGCAGGTGACCCCGGCGAGAGCTGAGGAAAGACTACTGAGATCTGATGTCACTGAATAAGGCCTGTTCCATGACAACTCACAGAGCACAGAGCCTACTGGCATAGACATGTACTCTGTGCTACATGCCCCCCTATCCCACACAGGTGTGCATATGTGCACACCCATATAATTTAAAGGAAAAAAAAGGTCTGAGCAGCCAAAGCAGAAATCATCTTTTTTCAGGATGAGGAGGATGCTTGCCGAGGGGCAGGAGCAGAGCCCCTTGGGACAGGGACAACTCAAGGTTGGGTGAGGCTGGGGAGGGGGCTGTGTCCCTGTCCCCTTCACCTAAGGCAGATAGAATGGAGAATTCTAGGAGTGACCACCCTGTGCCAGAGAGAGACCTTGATGTTGAGCCTCTTGGCTGCTCAAAATACCATATTGGGTGTCATTTTCTGAACCCCAGCCCCTCCCCCAACACTTGTCTCCTGTGCAGCCCAATATGCCCAGTGACATCATTGTAATAACCTGTTTTTAGTACAAAAACCTGGGTTTTTGGCCCCAACAAGCTGGGCTTGCCTACCCACTGGGTTATACCAGTTAAAGAGTAACACTGAACAGGCTGAAGAGATGGCTTAGCAGTTAAGGGCACTGACTGCTCTTGCAGAGGACCCAGGTTCGATTCCTAGGACCCACATAATGGCTAACACTTGTCCTAACTCCAATTCCAGGGGCTCTGATGCCCTCTTCTGACCTCCATGGGCATTGCACGATATGGGTGCACTTACACACATGCAGGCAATACATTCATACACATAGAATAAAAATAAAGAAAAAAAGAGTAATCCTGAAAAGCAGGGGACTGGGAAGAGCCTCAGTGGTAAAGCATTTGCCTAGTAAGAGTGAGGACCTGAGTTCACATCTCTAGAATCCAGGTAAAGCTGGATGCCGTGACATGTTCCTGTGAAAGAAGGAACTCAGACAGGCAAATTCCAAAAGCCTATGGGTCAGCCAGCCTGGCCAACACTACCATACCCTATCTTGGTGGTAGGCGAGGACCCACATCCAACATGGCATGTGTCTGCCCCCCATCATGCTCATGTTCATGTGATAAAAATGAAAAGCAAGGCTGGACCTGGTGGCACATGTACTACAGCCATTGCATGTTCATGGCAGACAGATAACAGAAACACATGTAAATAAAAATGAGTCTTTAAAGGAATGCAGAGGAGAAAGATTGGCTTAGTGTGCCCACAGGGACGGGTTAAGTAGAGGAACTGGAGTGGGTGCAGGCGTCCGAGGGACACTGTTCAAGGGCTTGGACTCCTGATGCTTCTTCAGCTTCCTTGACTTGTGGATATTATTCCATAGCTTGCATGTACAAATCTTTTGTCATATTTTTTTCTTTTATACCTGTGTTTGGTTGCATGTATGTAAGTGCACCATGTGCATGCAATCCCTGTGGAAGCCAAAAGAGGGTGTCGAATCCCCTGGAACTGTAATTAAGGATAATTGTTAGCCACATGTGGGTGCTGAGAACCTATAGGAGAGCAGCCAGTGCTCTTAACCACTGAGCTGGTTCCTCAGTCCCCTTTTGGATTTTTGAGTCAGAGTCTCCTGTACCAGACCTAGACTAGTCTTGACCACACTGTGTAGGCTGAGGATCACCTTGAACCTCTTGGTCCTCCTGCTTCCTGAGTGCTGGGATGCCACCAAGGCCCAGCCTCCCTCCCCCCCAAAAAATTATCATTGTATTTATGTATCTCTGATGTGTGTCTTTGTGCATAGGTCACAGCACTTGTATCAAGGTTGGAGGGCAACTTCAGGGAGTAGCCTCTTCAGTGGAGTCCCAAAGACCGAACTCAGGTTGTCAGACTTGACCTTTTACCTGCTGAGCCATCTTGCCAGCCTTTTCTTTTGTTGTTTTGTTTTTGTTTGAGACAGGGCCTAGAACTTGCTGTGTAGACCATGCTGGCCTTGATCTCAGAGAGATCTGCCTACCTCTGTCCCCAAGTGCTGGAATCAAAGGTGTGTGCCATTATGCCTGGCTCTTTGCTTTTTGGGATAAAGTTCCATTATGTAGCTCAGGCTGGCATAGAACATGGAACTCTTCTGCCTTAAGCATTCCCTCCCCCATGCTGGGATTGCAGGCATATGGCCCCATGCTCAGCCCTGCTAATTTTTTACTTTTTGCTATAATGCATGAATTGGTTTCTCTTCCAGGCTTTGATACTGTTCGACTTTGACCTCATAAAATCTGTAAATTTTCAGTGGCTCTTTGTGAGCCGGAGCATACTTGCTGTGGGTATGTCTTCTCTCCCACATCTGGAGTTAACAGTGGGATTTGAGCACACTCTGGGTGTGAGACTGGGGCTTGGGTACCCAAGTCATTTGTTGCTGTTCATTTTAGGTGGGTCTGTGAGGAAATTCCAGATCTCAAGCTGGCCATGGAGAATTATGTACTGATTGATTACGATACCAAAAGGTGAGCAGGTCAGCGGGCTTCCTGCTTTCCCACAGCTGCCCACTTCCCTACAGTTGCCCCCACCACCACCTCTACTCCATGCTGAGCCTCCTTATGGCTGTGACCCTGTTTGAAGTGTTGAACTGGCTAGACTGAGGATGTTACTAGAAACCCCACACTGTGCAAATGGGGATTGACACATGGGAATTACCAGGGTGGGGAAGTGGGGAGCAGCGGGTCTTTTTATAGCAGCTCGTGCCTGCCAGCGTCTGCCTTTGGCTCTGTGCTGAGGGACTCTGCCAGCTGTCTCACCTAAGCCTGGTGCTCAGTGGAGCCAGTCCTAGCCTGCTCAGAGACTATCCTCCTGGACAGTGTGGGTGGAGAAGGGAAGGCAGGTATCCCTGGTATGCCTGCCGCTGTGGAATGCCTGCCTACATGGAATGCTTGCCTGGACTCCGGTTTGTTTTCTTGTGAGAAAGGCTAACTGGGCCCCGCTTCCTACTCTGAACCAGTTTCATTCCAGCTCTGTTCCTGGCCGCAGCTCAGACCACTGCAAAGTCAGGACTTGGTGCCTACAGTGTTTTGCCTGACCCCTGACCTTACCGTCCTATAGGAAGGACTCAGGATGCTGGTCAGCCTCAGTGACCCTGGATCTGCCCCCTGGTCTCAGATCTCCTGCCCCAAACTGGCACCTGGGTATGAGGAAAGGGTACCCCCTTGTGCCAGAGCAGTGCCAGTCAGGAGGTATACAGGGCAGGCAGGGACTAGGGTGTAAATTGCCCTCCCAGGACCCACAGCCCAGGGAGGCACATGTCCTTGCGCATGGTGAGAGACACAGACCAGGGCCAGGAGGTTCTGTCTTTGTGGAATTGGGGTGCCCCACTCAGTGCCCCTGTGTGTTTGTATCCAGGGCTCTTAGACTGCTAGAAATATTCCTTTTGCCAAGCTAGACCCCCAAGGGTCTGACATGTGCTAGACAAGTGGTCATCCCATTGACTTTGGAGATGGGCCTCGCTGTATTACCTTCCTGACCTCAGACTCCTGGGCTCCTTCCATCAGCCTCCCGAGTAGCTGGGGCTAGAGTTGTGCATGCCCTACCACCACACTCTGCTTTTCTAGCTTTTTCCATGGTGCCTGCTGTTGGGGGGAAGCCATGTTCCTTTCCTGTGGCTACTGGTCTAAGTGACCACTTCTGTAGACAGGAAGGTGTCAGACACCCAGACCCAAGTCCATATTCATACCAGGCAGGGATCGGGCACCATATTGCTATGTGTTTGAACAGGTCTTTTTTTTCTGTCTTTTTGAGACAGGGTCTCCCTATAGCCCCAGCTGTCCCGGAACTCACTATGTAGAGCATACTGGCCTGGAACTCACAGAGATCCGCCTGCCTCTGGCTCCCGAGTGCTGGGACTAAAGGTGTGTGCCACCAAGCCTAGCTAGGACAGGTCTTCTTAATCAGCACCCTGCCTTACATGGGACAGAAGCTCTGTGTGCATGCGTGCGTGCGTGCGTGTGTGCGTGCGTATAGTGACTCTCTAGGAGAGCCCCAGAGCTCTCCATGCCACAGGAACAGTGCCTGTACAGAAGGGAGGGAAGGCTTAGGCTTTCACTACTTTGCAGGCAGTGTTGACCCTCTGTAACTACCTCAGAGCCCTGGCTGGGTTCCTGTGGGTTTCTGAGTGAGGGCCTGGGGTCCTTCTCCCTTTTTATTTCTGCCTATGTGTGAGTGGCTTGCATGTGTGGAGGTCAGAGGGTAACCTGGGGCTTTCTACCTTGTTTGAGATGTCTCTTGTCTTTACCACCTGTGCCAGGCCATGCCTCCCATCCTGCCCTTAGGTGCTCTGAGATCACAGATGTGTTAGAGTTATGTGGGTTCTAAGGAGTTGAACTTAGCCTCTCATGCTTGTGTGACAAGTGCTTTAGCCACTGAGCCCCTCCCTTTCTCCAGCCCCCTGTCTTATATGAATTGATCCTGAAGTCCCTAAGTAATACTGTGATACTTCTTGGGCAATCTAACCTTGAGTTTGACACCTGAGTCCAGACCTACCCAAGCTGCCCTTGGGCTTGGGTGTGTGGCCAGGGACTTCCTCAGCAGGGAGACCCTGGTGGGGTATTAGTTTGCTCTAGGTCTATGAAGCCCAGTGATGACTCCCCTCCTTTCCTTCTAGCTTCGAGAGCATGCAGAGACTTTGTGACAAGTACAACCGTGCCATCGACAGCATCCATCAGCTGGTAGGCAGCTCTGCATTGTAGCTGGCTCACAGCTCTGTCCTTAGCCTGGTCCACCAGCTGCAGGGACAGCCTGCTCACATTATGGTGTAGAGCTCCTGCTTGCCTCAGCTGACAAGCTGGCATGCACAGCAGAGTGCAGCTGCTGTGGGGCAGGGTGTGAACTTTTTAGAAGGCTCAGGATCCCTGGAATCGGGGCTTTTGACAGGCCAAGCCATCTTGGGGTGTGGATAGAGGGAGGGCTTTGTGAAGGATGGTGTTGTTTGGGGAAGCTGATGAAGGTGGCTTGTAAGTCTTTTTGCTGAACTGCTTATGGTGCCCATAGTATATGCACCTTTGTTCAGTGGCTGGCCTCCTGGGCATGGGTGATAGCTATCAACTCCCTTACTGGCCACAGGGATCCCAGTTGAGCCAGCTACATTAGGACCCTCTGTAGGACAGTGAGAGGCTTGGGGTGACTGCAGCCCCTGCAGCTGAGCTGGCTTGGGGAGTCGGAGTAAGTCACCCTGCTGAGCAGGGCCTATGATCCTGAACATCTTCCTCCAGTGCCCCCATTCAGCTGGGCCATCCTACACTGTCACACCTTGTCCAGTGCTATTAGCCATCCATATAGTGTCCATGGCTATGAGATGAAAGGGGTGAGCCGAACAATGCCTAGAGGTCTGCCAGGGTCTGCTTTCAGGGGCGAGCCTGACAGGGATGACAAGAACTGGCTGCTTTCTTCTCCCTGTGGATTTTATTTTTAAATTTTTTTTTTTTTTTTGAGACAGGGTCTCCCTGTAGCCCAGCTAGCCTGGAACTCATTGTGTAGCCCAGGCTGGCCTCCATCTCATAGAGATCCACCTGCCTCTGCCTCCAAGTGCTGGGGTTAAAGGCATGTGCTACCACACCTGATTCTTGTTTTTGAGACAAGGTCCTATTGTATAGCCCAGGCTGGCTTAGAACTTGAAATCCAGTGCCCTCCCTCACCTGCTATTGCTGGGATGGTCCTGCAAGGCTTGTCCTTCGAGTAGGCACATGTGGCTTGGAGGCAGGAGGGGACACCTGGGACCTAGTTGGTGGGCTTACATCAGGAGGCTCAGAAGATATCTGTCAGAAACTGACCTCCTCAGTGGTAATGTGCTCCTAACTGGCAAGGAGTGGTCATGCAGATCCTGGCAAAGAGTGTGTGCACTTTGGCCCTTCTAGGAGCATATATGTGCACCTTGCCTATGCCAGGTGCTTACCAGTGAGCCACACCCAGCCTCGTTTTTGTTTTAATGTAAATTTTTGGGGGGTGGTTCTTTTTGGGACAGGATTTTCATTTAGCCCCAGATGGTCTGCAACTTTCTATGTAGACTAGGCTGGGCTTTATCTCATAGACATCCACCTGCCTCTACCTCCCAAGTGCTGGGATAAAAGATGTATTCCACCTCCACATCTGGTTTAATATAATTTTTTAATGTGTATGAGTGTTCTGCCTGCGGAGGTCAGAAGAAGGTGTTGGATCCCCTGGAACTGGGTTTTAGACAGTTGTTAGCCACTATGTGGGTGCTGGGACCTGAACCCGGGTCCTCTGTAAGAGCAGTCAGAGCTCTTAACTGCTGAGCATCTCTCCAACCCCTTTTGATTTTTTGGAGACAGGGTCTTAACTATTTAACTCCAGCCATCCTGGCACTCACTGTTGGAGCCCAGGCTGGTCTTAAACTGACAGCAGTCTCCTGCCTCAGCCTCCCAAGCCGGGTTTGGCGCAGGTGCTGCTGGGTGCTATAGTGAGAAGTCACATTCTCTGTCCCTAGTGGAAGGGCACCACGCAGCCCATGAAGCTGAACACACGGCCATCCAATGGGCTCCTGCGGCACATCCTGCAGCAGGTGTACAACCACTCAGTGACTGACCCTGAGAAACTCAACAACTACGAGCCCTTCTCCCCTGAGGTATATGGGGAGACCTCCTTCGACCTAGTGGCCCAGATGATTGATGAGACCAAGATGACTGAGGACGACCTGTTTGTGGACCTGGGCAGTGGTGAGTATTTCCCAGTGTGGCCTGTGGCTTCACTTGCTCAGGGACCTGTGCTCGAGTCCTCCCTGCCTAGGTCCTCCCATGGTGCTCCCATCCCACCCAGAGCCCCAGCCCTGCCAGCTGCTTTCACCCTTCCCCACCTGTGGTCCAACGGCCTTGCATTGTGGGAGCTCCCCACCAGAGCAACAGCCCTGAGGCTCTGGATTGAGCCTTGTTCCTTACTGCACTCAGCAGACACTGACTTCCCTCTGCTGCTGGCCTGAGATTCTGAGCATGAGCAGTTCTCCTTGAGGCCACTGTATCTATTACACTACACAGGGTAGGAGGTGAAGCCAGGAAGAGGCCAATGGTTCCTTCCAGCCCATTTATTTATTTTCTGTTTTGTCTTTTTGAGACAGTTTCTCTGTAGCTCCAGCTAGTCTGGAACTCAAAGAGATCTGCCTGCCTCTGCCTCCTGAGTGTTGGGATTAAAGGTGTGGGCCACTGTGCCCGGCAGGTTTTTGTTTTTTTTGTTTAGTTTTGGTTTTTTTTTTTGTTGTTGTTGTTGTTGGTGGTGGTTTTTTTTTTTTTTGAGATGGGTCTCCCTGTAGCCCCAGCTGGCTTAGAACTCACTATGTAGACCAGGTTGGCCTTGATCTCACAGGGATCCAAGTGCTGGGATTTACAGTATGTGCTACCACAACTGGCCTTTAGCCCCTTTAAAAGTTGCTAATCCAGCCATGAGGTTTGAGCCTCGGGGCCCCTCTCTCTTCCAGAGCCCCCCACCAAGGCATTGGGCTTTGAATTTAGTTTGCCACTGGACTGTGGCAGGGATGACTTCTGTGCAAGCACAGCATCTCTGAAGGGCTCTGCATCTTAGAGTGTATCTCTCCCCCTGTGGTTTTGAATAGCCTGGTGCTCTTTACTTGATATGTGGTACCAGCACAGAAAGTGGTAGTTGTGGGTCAGTTGAGATGCCGAAATGCCCTACCACACGGGATGGCTTCAGAGCCTCAGCCTCGTGACCCAACATTGGCAGATGCAGCTAATAACCCTTTATGGGTACCAGAGACACCAGTGGCCAGAGATTCCTTCCTTAGGATCCTACATGTTAACATCCCAGATGAGACTGTTAGGTCAGAGTACTGGTAGGCTTGATCACAGCAGGACAGGAGTGACTTAGTCAAGAGGTATCTTTCTGGGGACCACTGAACTCCAGAAAGTAGCAGTACCCATGTTGGGACAGTAGCCCTGCAGAGCCATAAGCAGAGGACACAGCTTCCCACCCACAGATGTGCTGTGGTGCTGGGATAAACAGGTCCTGTCATGCTGTGTAACCTTGGCTTCGTGTGCCTTTGAGTGGCTTCCACTCACTGATGTCAGAAGTTGCATGGCTGGGCCCCCAACTGGTGTAGCCTCTCCTGGGTAGTGTCTGTTGGGTGGGTCTGAGGTCCCTGAGCCTCTCCTTGGAGAGCTGCACTCTGACCTGTGTCTCTCTGGCTGAAGGTGTGGGGCAGGTTGTCCTCCAGGTCGCTGCAGCCACCAACTGCAAACATCACTACGGAGTGGAGAAAGCTGACATCCCAGCCAAGTACGCTGAGGTGAGCAGTCCTGAGGACAGCTATGCGTGAGTGTGAGTGCCTGCACTGGGTGCCCAGTGTCCATTGTTCAGGGCATCCTGTCTGGGCATGGTTCCTCGAAACCAACTGGGTTTCCATGTTTGTGACACTTGGGCCTTCCCCCACAGTGCCTGCTGTGGGCTGGAGTCAGTCATGTCATCCTGTAGGGGAATGGCCGTGCCATCGTGGGGGAGGACATGGATGGTGCTGAGCCTTGAGGGCACAGCTGCTGTGGACTTCTGTGCCCTTGGCTGTCCCTGGGAACAGGCTTTTGTTGGGGCTGGAGAGCAGGGCCTGGGGACTCTGCTGCGGCAGGTTGGGAACCTGGGGACCCTACTATGGGCCCTCTGGACACCCCCACCTCAGGGTGTTGCTCAGCAGACCTGCAGAGACCCTGTGATCACTGTTGCCCTGTCCTCCCTGGGTTGCCAACAGCTCTGTGCTTCCTTTCCCTCAGACCATGGACCGAGAGTTCAGGAAGTGGATGAAATGGTATGGAAAAAAGCATGCAGAATACACAGTGAGTGCCATCCCTCCACGCCGCCCTCGGGTCCCTAGCCGTGTCCCTCCCTCATCCCACCCAGTCGTCTTGCCCTGTGACTGCATGGCGTCTTCTGTGGCTCCGATGTCCTCCACAGCATCTACTACCAGAGCTGCTGCAGAGCCTTGGCCAAGTGGGTACTTCCCTGTGCCCCTGGCCTGGGCTTTAGTGTCCTTAGGCAGTGTGATTCGTGGCAGGACAGTTGCTTAGCTCAGTGGAGCCCTGGCATGGGCAGGAAGTCTTCCCACACCTCCTGTGTTGAGGAACCCTTTGGGGTCCACTCCCAGCCTGTGCTCTGGGTTAGAAGCTTGAGCCCTCTTCTCCCACCCTCAGCTGCCAAGGCTCACTGTCACCTGGACATACCGAGGCCTTGTGAGAGTCCCACACTTCATGCATGGCCACATAGGCCATGAGCTCCTCTGTTCATACGACACCTAGTGGCCTTAGTGTGGACAGGGTCATGTGGTTTTTCTGTTGTGTTTGTGTGATGCTAGACCTGAAGGCTAGGTCCCCCTCCATACTGGGCAGGCGCACTACTGCTGAGCCATACCCTGGTGTAACCTTTTGGTAAGGGACAGTACCCATCAGCCAGCCTTGATTGTCATGGCTGAGATCTGGTTAGGATCCCTGGTCTGCCTCTCACACATTCAGGGAACTGCACTGCACTTGGCTCTGCGTTCTCTGGAACAGGATTTGAGGCTGCTCAGTGGGCCCGGCTCACCCTTGCTTTCCAGGCAAAAGCCTCTTTTGGGATCTTCTCCCATGTTTGAAGTTCTCAGGGAAGACTCAGAAAGGCAAGAGACCCACTTGACATCCATGTTTGAGACCCAAGAGAAGTCCCCAAATGGGTCCAGGTTCCCGAGACTCCCTGGTTCCCCACATATATGTTAACTGTGCTGATTCCTCGTGCTTCTTCTGGGACGCATTAGGTCCACGGTACATAGTACTCAGGACCCTTGTGAGCTTAAATGTTCCTGGGGTTGCGTGTAGCCTGCACTCCCCTGGGAAGACAGAGCTGGAGGCCCCTGCTTGCTTCTGCTTCCTCCCCAGCTGGTCCTGGTTGGGTGACCCATCCCATGTGGCTGGCAGCTGGTTGATATGCTGACTGTTGTCACTCATGGGTCCTTGTGTGGCTCATGCTGGTGGCCACTGGCTTGTGGGTAGGAGTAGGACTGAGGGAAAGGACACTTCCTTGAGGCTATGGTGTGTCAGAAGTATTTTGACGTTAGGGAGAGTCAGTGTGTGTCAGCCCCAGCCTCCAGGGTCCACTCTGACTGCTCACAGTGCTCTGAGTGACAGGCAGGCCTCCTTAGGATGCCATCCTGGCTGCTGCAGGCCCTGTTTTAATGGCTCCCTGCAGTGCAGTGACTTTAATGTGGGTCTGGTTGGAGAACTGCAAGCCCTGCTTTCTGAGGAGCTCAGAGGAGAAAAGCCAGGAGGAGCCTAAAAATAGCCCAGAGTACTTTTCCAGGCCCAGAGCTGCCTCAGGCCAGGGGTGCCCAACCCTACTGTTGTTGCCTCCTGGGTGCTGCCTCCCAGCTAGACCTGGGCCCTCCAGTGGCCACATTTAACTCGCCTCTTCCCAGCTCCTCCTTCCAGTCTGGGCTCCCACCCTCTTCAGGGCGAGAAGCTAGCCTGCACCAGAACCTGGACCAGGCTTACCTCTACTGGTGTTGCCTCCTGACAGGCCAGGCATGCTGATGTCATGTGTAGAGTGTTCCAGACATACTGGCAACCTGGGTGGCTGCACACTTGGCTTATTGAGCACCTTCCCTGCAAGGGTGGCTTCCAGCCCTTGAGTATAAATGGTTGCCTTCCAATAAATGGGCACACCAGGGCTGACCCCTGACCTTGGAAGACAGTAAAAATAGGCTTATTGCAGCCCAGGTGTCTCCATGGGGAGCCAGTATAGCGCTGCATCTGTCTGCCTTGGTGTCTTAGCCCCCGTTCTCTGGCCTGTTGGGTTTGGTGCTGCCAGAGGCTATTCTCAGCGGCTTGGTGGGAACCAGGGTAGCAGAGTGGACTCTATGCCTGGCCATGGCTTTTCATCAAGCTCATGTACCGTGACCTTTCTCACACCTCCCTGAGCTTCTGTAGGGCCTGCCTCAGGTCCTCCTGGAGGAGGAGCTTCATGGAGCCCCCCCCCCTTGGCATCGGTGACTGTTGTTTGACACTGTTCCTGGAGAGATGGACACACACGTCTATAACCCCAGATACAGAACCAACTCACAGCTGCATCACCAAAACTTACCTTGGCATGGATTGAGAGCTCACGAAAGCAGGAAACCCAAAGATGTACCCTGGAGTTGTACCCTGAAGATACACCCTGGAGATACATTCCTGTGGTACTCCCCCTTCCCGGAGCTGTACCCTGAAGATGTCTCCTGGAGATGCACCCTGAAGATGTCTCCTGGAGATGCACCCTGGAGCATGTTGCACAACTTTCAGGCAGCTGCTAACAGGATGTGGCTACTCAGCGTCAGGCCTAGAGTCCAACTTCTGTCTTTCCATCCTTCAGCGAGACTTCACAGTCAGCCAGTGCAGGGGTTGCAGGAGGAAGGGTTCACTTAGGGTCCTGGGTATTCTGAGAGGGGGCTGCAGGGTGAGGTCTGCCCTAGACAGTGGGCTCCAGAGAGTCACTGGAGGCACCAGTGTCAGGTTCCTGACACCATTCCACGCCTGGGGGACCCAAGGACTCAGCACATAGCCATCCTTACGGCTAAAGCAACAGACACAGTGATCAGCCATGGGAAAGACATGAGTTTGCCAGGGAGACCAGGCAGGGCTTCTAGAATGTTCCCCGAGAGTCACAGACTATATGTTGTCCTCTGGGAGCACACAGAGACCCAGCACTCAGGGTTTTTGGGGTTCACGTGGCCCCTTTGCTTACAAAGTTTTAATGTCCCGGACCTCAGGGTAGCAGGGGTTGATAGGGACCTGTATTGTTGGCACTTGAAGCTCAGGTGTGCCTCCTGTTGGAAGTGGGGATTCCAGGACCTCAGACATCTAAGGACCCCCCTGGTCTAGGACCTGTGGGCTGCTGTGCACCATTGGGGATTTCAGCTACCTTCCCAGCCCTGGCCAAACCTGTCCATTGCAGTAGGAAGAGGCAGAAGGCCGTTTGAGTATGGGAGGAGAGGTGGGCACTGTGCCGGGTCTGGGCAGGGGACAGACTCAGAGCTGCTGAGGTCTGTGGAGTCCCAGGCAAAGTCTGGTCTGCAAGAGGCATCTCTACTCTGGGAGGACGAAGGCTGTGGCTGCTGCTGAACTGTGGGACAGCCCTGTCTTAGCACAGTAGAGTGACTTCTGGGCCTGTGACTAAGTGGGAGTCCTTTCCCTTGCAGCTTCTGGGGACCTCAGTGAAGGCCTCTGCCATGACTCATTGTCCACATCCCTGTCTTCCCTCCCAGCCTCAGATACCCACAAATCTACTTCCAGTTTTTGGATTTGCCAGTTGTAGAATTTTCCTGTTGTGGAGTTCCACACTGTGGCTTGTAGCAGTCAGAGCCTTATTTCTGTAAGTGGCTGAGAGATGTCCCAGCACATGGACTGACTGCGATCTTTATGGCTGTCCACCTGTCTGTGAACATGGGGCTATCCTTCTTTGGGACTCTGAACACCGCCCCCCCCCGACGCCTGCTCTGTAGGGGGGTTTGTGTTTGGCACTGCCAGCGGTCTTCTGAGCTCAGAACCTAGATTGTTTGATCTCTGTTATGGCTTTAGGAGTGGTAAGCAGGCTTCCCTTTGACACGCCCTCGCTGGGAGGAGATAGAATGTCTGTCTCCTGATAGACCTGTGAGGTCCAGGCAGTATGGCAACTGTTGATATTCCATAGCTTCATCACCAGATGCAAGCATGCTGACCCTGATTATATGGGCCTGGCCCTCCTGGGCAGTGTTGTGGGCCAAGGATGATCAGCCTGGTGATCTTTCAGCCACATGGACACATATCATGGCTGTGGCATCTGTAACCTGCATGGTGCAGCTTCCCTGGGGGGACAGGCCAAGGTAGAGGGGACAGCTAGCACAGCACCATGGTTTCTGGTGTATTCCTCCTCAGCTGGTCCAGTTCCATTCTGTCTGTCCTGGAGTGGACACTGCCTCCTGCCTGAGCTCAGGCCTGCTCCCCATGGAACCATCAATTGGCCATGCCATGATCTTCTTCCCATCCCGTGACCCAGCTCATTCCATGTTCCTTTCACAGAGTTGTGGGGACAGGGGCTTGAAACTGAGCAAGCTCCAAGGTAAACATGTCTTTTATTTCTCAGCTGGAACGAGGTGACTTCCTCTCAGAGGAGTGGAGAGAGCGCATCGCCAACACGAGGTACGGTTGGGCGGGCCATGTTACTGGCTGTGCTGGAGACTACGGAGGAGGGTGGGGACCTGCTTCTTGAGGGTGCTAGCCCTTCCCTGCTGTCCTCACTCAGACACCCCTCCCCATTCTCATACTGTTCTTGCTGGTCCCAAGAGCATCCTCTGCTGTCTTTGGGGTCTCTGATCTCCCAAGTGTCTTCATGCCAAGGCTTCAAGCTTCACCCTTGCATGTTTTCTGCCTTGGGGTGGTGCCCACTAACATTGCACCAGCCTGTCACCCTGGGTCCTTTTGTTCGTCTTCCTGTGGTACTCCATCACTCCGTCCTCAGCAGCTATCCCTTTTTGGCCTGATCACTAGAGACTGCATCCAAACAACTGCTTTATTGCAGAGGCGCCAACATTCCAGAGTGGCAGTGGCATAGGACTTGGTCCAGACAGGGTCTCCTGGCCTCTTCCAAAGGGCAGCTTCTGAGGCTCTCCTGAACCGCGCTTTCCCACTCAACTGCACCTAGGGTGGCGGGCATTCAGGCAAGGGCAGTGCCTGGAGTGGCCTATGGCAGGCCATGTCCACGCTGGGACTCCTCATGCAGGGAGCCTCAGTCACTGAAACAGAACATTGTTTTGCAGTGTTATATTTGTGAATAACTTTGCCTTTGGTCCTGAGGTGGATCACCAGCTGAAGGAGCGATTCGCAAACATGAAGGAAGGTAACACACTGTGCCCCCCAACTCAGATACAACTGCTGGCTCCAAGGGACATGCCTTGCATGTCCTCAGGGGACCTCACCAGCCCCCATTAATGACTGGCAGTGCCACTGACTGTGGTGGCACACACCTTTGATCCCACCAGTTGAGAGGCAGAGACAGGCAGTTCTCTGTGAATTTGGGGCAGGCCTGGTCTACATAGCAAGTTCCAGGCTAGCTGGGACTACAAGAAAAACAACCAAAAAAAAGCCAGGCATGGTGGCGCACACCTTTAATCCCAGCACTCGGGAGGCAGAGGCAGGCGGATCTCTGTGAGTTCAAAACCAGCCTGGTCTACATAGTGAGTTCCAGGAAAGCTGGGGCTAGCTGTCTCAAAAAAAAAAAAAAAAAAAAAAAAAAAAAAAAAAACGGGTCACAAAAATCCCAGCCGATTGCTCTGGGGGGGGGGAGGAACTGGGCTCCCATCCCCAAGTGCACCTTGTGTTTCAGAGAAGGAACTATAACAAAGTAACCATGCCTGGCTCTCCTACCTCTACCCCTGGATCTGAGTGGCTCACCTGCTTCCTCTCCAGTGGCTGAAAGCTAGTCACTTCCTGTCTCTGTGCCCATTCATTTGGGAAATGCACATTTTTCATAATTCAAAACATCTAAAGAATGGTCTTTTCTCCAATTAAAAAAAAAAAAAAAAAAAAAAAAACAAACAAAAAACGGGTCACAGACATCCCAGGCGTGCCTGTCCCAAAGGTTGGGCTCTCTTGCCTGCCATCTTTCCTCAGCTCTCCTGGACTGGACTGTGAAGGTTAGGGACAGCTAACCAAAGGCACTTAATATGCCCAGATGAGAACGGCACGTGCTCTGCCCTCACAGGTGCCTAGTGAGGTTCAGGTCACAGGTCAGCCTCCTAGTGCTGACCAGTGACTCCACAGCTGATCTCGCTGCTGGGTTCCCACCCATGTTCTGTTGCCGCAGCCAGGAGGGAGATAGAGTGGGCTCTGTGGTGTGCACGGGCAGATGGGTTGAAAGGCTGTCCTGGCTTAGGAGAGTTCTCCTGCTGCAGTGCCTGTGCCAGGGCTCTGTGCATGTGAGCTTGAGTGTCTGTGCATGAGGGTGCTGGAGCTCAGAAGTGAGAGCATGGTGGAGTTTCAGGGTGGCAGCTGGACCAGGGCTGTCTCCACAGTTCGATTCTGTCACCCCAGGGGACCAGTCACACTATTGGTAAGTTTTTCACTTCTATGAGACAGTTTATTTGTAGCCTAACCTTGCCCAACACTCACATAGCCAGGCTGGTTTTGAACTTGCAGCACCTCCTGCCTCTGCCTCCAGAGCACTAGGATTGGTGTGCACCATCACACTGAGGCTGCCTGTTTTGCATCAGGCCTGTAGCTTTCTGAGCCATCCATTCCTGGGTTAACCTGTCCCTTTCTACTCCCAAGTTTCCTCGTGGCTAGGATGACCAGTTGTCACAGGTGTGCCAGGCTGATGATGTGTGACTGAGCCATTGCATCAATGGCAACAGGCACTCTGATGCCTCCCCTACACCTGCCCTTAGACCTATGCTCACCCTGCTCACTGCAGTACCCACTCAGTGCTGCTGGGGGGTGTGTGCTGCCCCCCCTCTTCCTCTTGGTGTTCAGTGGTAGCTCCTCATTCTCACCCTGGCTCTTTGGGAAGCACAGGACACCAGCTAGACTGCCCATGACTTTTCAACCTGACCCCATCAGTCCCTGAAGCTTACTCCTTTCCAGGCATAGTAGAGACCTGGCCTGACTTTGTGCTGACCTAGGCTAGCCCAGTCCTCTTACTGTAGTACAGGACTCGGGAAGCAGGACTGAGTGGGTCTAGAGGCCAGATGTATAAGCAAGCATGCATAGCTGTGTATAAATGTGAGTGCCCATGTGTATGTGTTTGAAGACAGGAGTCTCAATGTGTTGCTGCCCAGAACAGTTTTTTTTCAGCCTACTGAGCCCTGGGTTGGCAGGTGTATACCACCATGCCTGCTAGCTTCTCATTTTGAATCACCTGTTATAAACATCACAGGGTGTGGAACTTAGGCCACAGTTCTAACACTCAGAAGGCTGAGGCAGGAGGATCTGGGGTTCCAGTGTTGATACCACCCACCTCCTTGCACAATTGCTACATCAACAGGGACCAGACTACTTTATTTTTTTGTTTGGATATACCATCTCACTATATAGCCCTGGCTGGCCTAGAACTTGCTATAATAACCCAGGCTGGCCTGGATCTCACAGAGATCCATCTGCCTCTGCCTCCCCAGTGCTGGAATCAAAGGTGTGTGCCACCATGCCCACCTGTTTTTTAGATTAGGTTCTTGCTGTCTTCAAACTCTTGACAGTCCATGTGTCTCAGTCTCCTGAGTTCTGGGGTGACCGTTGTGAGCCACCATGCCTGTGGGGTTCCTGGTGAGTTTTTAGGAACTGCCATGTGCTCAGCCACCTTGCCTCCTTTGCCCTGTGGCAGGCCCAGGTCTTACTATGGTCACTTTTCTCAGGGCACCCAGCTTTCACTGTGGTGCAGAGTCACTGATGTCTGTGTGGCTGTGGTCAGGGCTCATCACCAGTGGGGTTTCATGAGAACTCAGAGGGTCTTGCAGGGGACTTTCTCTGGTCTTCTGTCACTGACACCTGAGTTCTACAGTTTCCAGTTGTGGGGGTAGTTTCTCCACAGGGCAGTGATGGGCTTCTGTATTTCAGGTGGTAGAATCGTGTCCTCGAAGCCCTTTGCACCACTCAACTTCAGAATAAACAGCAGGAACTTGAGTGGTAAGAGGCTCTCGGCTCAGTGGGGGGCATGACATGGCCCGTGGCCAGTTGGGCAGGGCCTAAAGTTAGGCCCTTAGCTTCACGGGGAAGCAGAGATCCACCTGCCTCTGCCTTCAGAGTGCTGGGATTAAAAGTATGCACCACCATGCCCAGCTGGCTTTGTATTCTTAATCAAAGATGTCTCTAGATCATTCCCCAGGCCCAGCTTCCTCCCATTCCCTTCCCAGACTCTTAGGCTCCTTGGGGGTAGGGAGGATGGCAGTAGCTCAGGTGCTGTTTCCTGCTGGCACCTCTTCTGGGGTGCAGTGATGGCCCCCTGATAACCTCTCTTCCCACAGACATCGGCACCATCATGCGTGTGGTGGAGCTGTCACCACTCAAGGGTTCTGTGTCGTGGACTGGGAAGCCGGTCTCCTACTACCTACACACCATTGACCGCACTATAGTGAGTACTGTGTAGCATGTGCTTCCTCCTGTGTGCCCCTGCACACTCATCACCCAGCTGTACCTGATGACTCTGGGTCTCAGCCCCTGGCCTTCCTCACCAATAGGTGTTTACTGCATATTTGTCCTCATTACCTGGAGGCAGAGGCTCCTGGTCTGTGCCAGCCCTCCACAGAGTGTTCTGTGCCAGCCTTCCCTAGGTCCTCTGATGGGTCCTGGGCCAGTGTGTGGCCATGTGTCTTTCCATTCTGGTGCTTCTGTGTCCGCTTCTCCCTGCCCCAGATCCTCCCACAGGTGAGCCCTGAATGCTGTTCTCTATCTGCCCTGTTGGCCTCTGGGCCCCTGGAGGACAGCATGCTGGTGGTTCTGCTTTTTATCCTCATCCTTCCCTCCCATTTGGCTCTGCCTGTTGCCAGTCATAGCCTCCCTCTGAATCCTCCCTGAGGATCACAGGCATGTCCCACATCTGCTGTAGGTGATGAGCCAGGCCAGGCTCCTGAACTGAGGTGTGTCCCCATGAGTGCCCAGTACAATTACAGTACCATCACAGGTGCTCCCTGTGCTGCAGTCACGAGACCTTAAGGACTGGCCCCTGGCTAGAGCCAAGGTGGACAGTGTCTCCCTGGAGAAGACCATGGCTTTAGGTTGTGTTGCTATAGGTGTGACACTTTTGGGGTCTGGTGGAATATCTGATCTCTTCTGTGAGACACAGCATCTGTGTAGTGCCATCCCGAGAGTCTGTGCTTTTCTGGGATACTGTCCTCCAGGGTTGACTTTTTTCTTTTTTTGTATTTATTTTTTATGTGTATGAGTGTTTGTCTGCATGTGTGTAAATGTACCCATGTCATGTAATGCCTGCAGAGGTCAGAAGAAGGCATTGGATCCCCTGGAACTGGAGTTAATGGATGGTTGTTAGCCACCATGTGGGTGCTAGCAATTAAACCCTGGCCCTCTGCAAGAGCAGCCAGTGCTCTTAACCACTGAGCCATCTCTCCAGCCCCCAGGGTTGACTTCTAATAAGGGTTTTTTTTTTTTTTTTTTCTTTTCTCTCTAGCTTGAAAACTATTTTTCTAGTCTGAAAAATCCAAAACTCAGGGTAAGTTTTTATCTTTCTGACTGAGTGGTGCAGCCCACTGCCTTGTGACACTGTGCTGGCTCACAGTGGCTGGCTGGGTAGAGTTGGGGGGGGTGGCCAAGATACCCCCCGGGCCTCTGTCCTTATCCTGCTTCCCTCTACTCCTTTGCTGGGGCTGGGTGCTGAGAGTTCCTAGATGCCCCTGTGCCTTCCCTTGGCAGAGAGTGGAAAGAACCTGGGGAGGACCGGGCAGCCCAGTCGGTGACAGGCGTTTCTCTGGCCACCCCTGCCTATCCATTTATCACCAAGATGTGGACCTGCCTTCCCAGGGACGTCAGGGCTGGACTGTCATGAGTCTTTCCTGGGGAGATGCTAGCAAACATCTTAGTTACCCTACATTGGGCACTGATGACCAACCAGAGTGTTCTGCCAAGTCTGAACAGGGATCTTGTTGGGGTTTGAGAGTGTGCATACCACCACTGAAGAGCACGTCCCCCATTTCCCCAGAAATTGTAAAGTTTGTATTTACTCAGGGCGGGTCCACAAGGAAAGGGCAGTGTGCGGTCTCAACAAGCGTCAGCTGCTGATTTTAAATCAGCAGTGTCCATGTCATATGCTGAGGGCAGAGGCCCAGCAGGTGGGACTCAGCTTTGCCTGGCCCTCTGAGGACTGTCATTCCTGCCAAGTGGAGGGGAAATGGGCGTCCATGCCCATGATGAGTTCCACATTGCTCTCCTTGCCGCATGGGCTCCCGGTGCAGGGCAGGCCTGTGCCGCTTCTTGGAGGGACAGTGGGGCGCTGTGTGTGCTCGATCCAGTTGATGGACACTCAGTGGCATCATATGAGTGCAGCTATGAAGGCGGCAGCTTCTGGCACTATCCAGACACTTGTCCCCCTCTTCTTCCTAGGAGGAACAGGAGGCTGCCAGGCGCCGGCAGCAGCGAGAGAGTAAGAGTAGTGCAGCCACACCCACCAAGGCCCCTGAGAGCAAGGCAGCTGAGGCCCCCACGGTGAGGCTCCTGCACATGGCTGAGGGAGACAGTGCTCCACGGTACTGAACTAGATTGGTGAAGGGACCATCCTGTGGGCACTAGTCCCATCCACAGCCCCTGGGCTCCGCTGGCCAGGGCCCTTACCACAATTTCTGTCTTGCTCTCTGTGTCCCTGAGCCCCTCCTTTGTCCTGCTGTGTTCCTCACTGCCTCCTCTGTCCACCAGGACTCTGGTGCTGAGGAAGAGAAGGCGGGCATGACCACTGTCAAAAAGCCATCTCCCTCCAAAGCCCGGAAGAAGAAACTGAACAAGAAAGGGAGGAAGATGGCCGGCAGGAAGCGTGGGCGCCCCAAGAAGATGAGTACTGCAAACCCCGAGAGGAAGCCTAAGAAGAGCCAAGCCACACTGGACCTCCTGCAGCCTGCGGCCCCAACTGATGCTACTTCACCCCAGGGTGAGCCTTTCTCTCTCCCGCAGGTGATGGCATGTTGGGTCTTCCCCATCTGAGTCCCTGCCAAAGCCAATGTACTAGCATGCTTCCACATGTGCGCCAGGACCCAATGTCAGGCCTAGATGGAGGTGCTACCAAGTTTGGATGTCACCTACAGCAGCTGGGGCTCATGGGAGCGTGATTGTGCTGACATGTACCCTCTCTCCCACAGATGCATACAGGGCACCGCACAGCCCCTTCTACCCGCTACCTCCTAGCACGCATCTGCACTCCCCCAACCCACTGCTGGTGGCACCCACCCCGCCTGCGTTGCAGAAGCTGCTAGGTGGGTGACAGCTCTGACCATGGGCAGTTCCAGGTGGGGTGGGCTGTTAGAGTGCCAGCAGCTGTGGTCAAGCCCACTGGATGGCTCAGCCCATGTGCCACTGAGACCAACTCACTTCAGGGACATTGGGCTATGTCTGGGAACACATATGACTGTCATGACTGGGGAAGCCCCTGGCATGGCCCCGACTGACACCTAGTGTCCCACAGGGCCCAGGAAGCCCCACAGAAAATAACCCACAGGGCAAAGACCCTCACTTGCGGGTGTAGGGCTGTCCATTCTGCTAAGAGAGACACTACTATGGTGTGTGGGGTAGGAGGTGAGAAGACGTAAAGGCACAGGCCCCAACCTGTACCCCTCGGGCTGAGGTGGGGGGTGGCATCGACTTTCCCCTCACTAACTGTGTTCCCCTCCAGAATCCTTCAAGATTCAGTACCTGCAGTTTCTGGCGTACACAAAGACCCCACAGTACAAGGCCAACCTGCAGCATTTGCTGGACCAGGAGAAGGTAGGTATGCAGCTGTCCACCTGTGCAAGGCACTCTTGGTTCTGGGTGTCCTGATGGGCCTGGCTGCCCACCTTGTATGCTGTGCACTTTTGGCCCTACTTCCCCATGGGTCAGGGCTGCCTGCCTGTGCCAACTGCCCTTGGCTCCACTTCCCTCCATGGCTTGGAGTTATTGCCCCACCCTCCCTCCCAGGAGAGGAACACACAGCTGCTAGACACAGCTCAGCAGCTCTTTGGCCATTGCCAGGCCCAGAAGGAAGAGATCCGACGGCTGTTCCAGAAGAAGCTGGATGAGGTGAGGCAGCCCATGCCCTCCTAGTAGTCACCTAACTTGGGGAAGGGTACATGTGTGTGTGCGTGCGCATGTGTGCATATGTTTTGCCCTGGCTGTGCCCTGAGTCGGGGCTGCAGGATGGCCATTGTGCTCCTTGCCTCTGTGCCCTGAGAAGCCACTCACCATGCCATGACCTCTGCATGTGTAGCTGGGTGTGAAGGCGCTGACCTACAACGACCTGATCCAGGCACAGAAGGAGATCTCAGCCCACAACCAGCAGCTCCAGGAGCAGTCGGAACAACTACAGAGAGACAACAGCCAGCTTCGGAGTCAGAGCCTGCAGCTGGTACGTGAGTGTGTGTTTATGTGAGAGTACACGCATGTGTGTGTGCGTGTCTTATATGTACATGCATGAGTGTATGAGCTTGTACATGTGCATGTATGTGCATGTGTCAGTGTGTGTGTGTGTCCTGTGCATGTGCATGCATGGCGGGGTACACTGGCTAGTTTTGTGTGTGTGTATATTGGGGAGATCATAGCTGGCAGGGGGGTGCAGGTGGTTGTTGGGTGGGGATTGCAGCTACTATGTATGTGTATATATTGGGGGGATGGCAGCTGGTGTGTATATGTGTGTGTATTGGGGGAATCACAGCTGGTGTGTATGTGTATATATTGGAATCACAGCTGGTATGTGCATGGGCAGAGGGTTGGGTCTCACTAATGTGCCTATGGGCCTGGTGCCTGGGTGCCTGGGTTAGTTTTGGGGGCTGCCGAACTGGGACCCAGCCCCCAGCATTCCTCCTGGGCTCCCCAGTCACAAAAACTGGGTTCCTCCATGTGCCCATCCTCCCTGGGAGGCTCGCTTACCTCTCCTCAGTCCCTTGCTGGGTGCTGAAGGGCTTCTCATCTTGCATCCTCCAGTGTGGGTTCTGTATTGTACTGCAGAAGGCTCCCAGGGCTGTCCAGGCTTTCTGCTGGTCACTGAGGTACCTGTTTCTGTCTCTGCAGCTCAGGGCCCGCTGTGAGGAGCTGAAGCTGGACTGGTCCACGCTGTCACTGGAGAACTTGCGCAAGGAAAAGCAGGCATTGCGGACCCAGATCTCCGAGAAGCAGCGGCACTGCCTGGAGTTGCAGGTGGGGCTCTGGTCACAGTGGAGTGTCAGAGTGATGGGGTAGAAGCTGTCCTCCCATCCTTTGTGAGGATGGACGATGTGGTGACATCTCCTGTCCTGCAGATCAGCATTGTGGAGCTGGAGAAGAGCCAGCGGCAGCAGGAGCTCCTGCAGCTCAAGTCCTCTGTGCCATCTGATGACACCCTGTCCCTGCAGCTGCGCAGCAAGGGTGTCCTGGGCCGGGAGCTGGACACTGATGGGCGGCTACGCCTTGAGCTGGACTGTGCCAAGATTTCCCTGCCACACCTCAATAGCATGAGCCCCGAGCTCTCCATGAATGGCCATGCCGTAGGCTATGAACTCTGCACCACGGCCAGCCGGCCATCATCCAAGCAGAATACGCCCCAGTACCTGGCCTCACCTTTGGACCAGGAGGTGGTGCCCTGCACCCCCACCCACAGCGGCCGGCCTCGGCTAGAAAAGCTGTCTGGCTTGGCCTTGCCTGACTATACCCGGCTATCACCTGCCAAGATTGTGCTGAGGCGGCACCTGAGCCAGGACCATGCTGGGGCTAGCAAGGCAGCCACCAGTGAGACACACCCCCGGTGAGCGCCCCCACATGGCAGCTCCACACCAGGACATAGTCCTGGGACTGCTGGGCCTGGCCCACCAGCTCTGAACTACAGCACACACAAGTGACAGCTTCTCTTTGCAGAGTGGAGCATGCCAAGGAGAACAGCCTTCCCTACCAGAGCCCTGGCCTGTCCAGCAGCACAAAGCTGAGCCCCCAGGACCCTCGGCCCACCTCCCCTGCAGCATCACCCCTTACCACTGAGAAGAGCAGTGAGAAGGTGAGGGCTGCCTTTCAGAGGCAGCCTGGGCATCAATGAGGAGTGGACCAGGCACTTGAGGGCACCATGGGGCAGTCTCATCTGCAGGATACACAGAACTCAGTTTAGGGGCCTGGAGAGGAGCTGGCCTGGTGAGGGTGGGGTGGGATGGGGACCTGCAGGCTCAGGGAGTGGCAGAGGAAGGTGTGCCCTCCCTTTGGCAACTGCATGCTCCTTGGGGAACTCAGATGCTGACCTGGGCCTAGGTTCAGTCTGTGTCTTGCATCTGGCGTGGGGGGTTCCTTGGGCTGTGCCGGGTGGGACAGGAGATCGGGAAGGGCAGGCAGGGCCTTCATGAGGCCAGGTAGCCCACAAGTGACAAGCCTAGGGAACAGAGTAGCAGGGAGGGGAATCTGAGGCCTTCCTGGTTGGGTCCGTGGCCCCACCCCATCCAGGTCTGGGTGACATGCATCGTCTGTCGGCAGGGTGTGAAGGAGCGCACCTACAGCAGCCATGGGGAGACCATCACCAGCCTGCCCATCAGCATCCCACTCAGCACCGTGCAGCCCAATAAGCTCCCCGTCAGCATCCCACTGGCCAGTGTGGTGCTGCCTAGCCGTGCCGAGAGGGCTGTGAGTGCCAGGGTGGTTGGGGTGGTGATGGGGGAGGTTCAGTCTCCACTTGGCCCTTATTCTATGGGACGTGTGAGCAAGCAGTTGATCCCAGTGCTGGCAAGAGCAGCACCTGCATTCACTTCTGGTGGGTTCTACAGTTTGGCCTTGCGTGTTTTCTGGTGAGAGGCAGGGTGAGAGACAGAGAAGGAATAGAGTGCTCTGCCCAGAAGAGCCCCAGTCTGTCAGCCTGTCTCTGGGCCTCTGCCAAACAACCCTCCTGTCTTGTTGTCTCCTGCTGGGCAAGCAGCTCTCAACTTCCTGACAGGTGGGTTTTCTCTTGCAGAGGAGCACTCCCAGCCCTGTGCCGCAGTCCCGAGACGCCTCATCCACACTTGAAAAGCAGATTGGTGCTACCACACACAGTGCAGGGGCCAGCACAGCTGGGAGCAGGAGCCTTACCCTGGCGCCCACAGGTGATCACCCACCTCTAGGGGGCCTATTCCTGCTGACTGCCTTGTAAAATAGGAATGGCTGAGCTGGTGGGGTGGGGGCAGCGCTCAGTAGGGACTCAACCACTCTGCTGTGCCACTGGGCCTCACAGGCAGTGCCCATCCTGGCCCACCACGCGATGCTGGATCCAGGTTTTTCCTCAGCTCTCCCACTGTCAGCTGCATCACAGCCCAAGGAGGTTGGGCTGTGGATCAATAGCCTGCCAGGTTTGGCAGAGTGGGAGTTACTGCAGCCTGGCAAGCTACCATGGGTATCTGGTTGCCTGGCATCCAGTGGGCTCCACTGTCCCAGAGCACCTAGCTCTGTGCCTGTCTATAGTGGCATGGGCCAGCACCTGCCTTAAAGGGCCACAGCAGCCTCTCGCTGGTCTCTTGAGTGTGCACAGTTACTGTCCTTTGCTCATAAAGCACAGCAACAGTTGTTGGGTGCTGACATGGGTGTACACACTGTGGGCTGAACAGGTCACCTTCAGAGGCCCATGTTGATGAGAGGCCTCTGGCTGCCTGGGCAGTGCTGCCAGTGTATGCTTGCCTGGTGGTGCAAGGGACTCCATCTCCCAGCATGGCTTTGTTGGTATCTCACTGGCCCAGCTCTGGCTGTGTGGGACACTGACTCTATCAGAAAGTTAGTGCCCTCCGCTGAGCCCAGGATGAGGTGGTATGTCCAGCTGGGCCAGGCTTCAGGGCCCCAGCTTCTCATTCCTGCCCATGCTACTCTGTGATGTGCCTAACAGCTTAGAGGCTCTGATCTGTGGAGGACCCTGGGTCTCTAGGGTGAACAGTTGTGGTGCCTATAGCCCAGTGAGCAGTTCCATGGGACCGACCTGTTTTTTGCCCCAGAGTCAGCTGTGCTGGGCACCACCCTCCCTTCCAGCCAGCACTTTGTACCTGAGGCACATCCCCCAGGTGTCTGATGGCTTTGCACAGTGGCCTGTGAGGATGGCACCCTGAACTGTGGCCCAAAGCTCAACACACTCACTTCTCATGTCTTTTTCCTGTCTGGTACAGACCTGGTGACCTAGCCTTGTCTGGGGAGATGCCACTGCGGAACAGAAATAGGGGTCAGTAGGCAGCTCTGAGGCTCTGAGCCCAGGTTCTTGTTAGTGGGGTCTTAAGTTGTTTCCTAAAGGCACAGGCAGCCCAAGGAGGTACAGCGCCTGGTATGTGCAGGTCATGAGCAAGAGGCCTGCAGGCTGCCTGTGTTCAGGATCAGAGGAGGCTGTTGTCAGGAACAGGGGTCAGGATGCGGGTCAGCAAGACCTGGCCTGGACAGACCTCCCTCCCCTGTGACTGCAGCCTACCCATTGCTGAGATGCTGGCCCTAGAGCTACCAGGTCACCTGAGAAGCCTGTCCTCCCCAGGATAGGTGTCCTCATCCGCGCCATTGTGCTCGGCCTTCATGCCCCCCTGAGAAACTTATGTCTTTGCTGGCAGGCTTCTACTCTGGCTCAGTGGCCATCAGTGGAGCCCTGGCCAGCAGCCCAGCACCTCTGGCCTCTGCAGAAGCAGCCTCCTTTGAGGACTCCTCTGGTGCTGGCAGCCTCTTCACCACCGTGGGATCTCGCAGCACAACACCACAGCACCCACCTCTGCTAGTGCAACCCCGAAACTCTGGCCCTGCCTCTCCCGCCCACCAGCTCTCTTCCAGTCCCCGCCTGAGTGTGGCCATCCAGGGCCCAATGCCTGACACCACCAAGGGGGAGCTACCTTCTGAAGCCATCTTAGACCCTGAGAGTGAAGCCAAGAGGAGGGTCATGTTCACCATCACAGTTGGCACTGGTGGCTCAAAGCAGTCGCCCTCCACCAGGCACAGCCCCTTGACCTCTGGCAGCCGTGGGGACAGTGGACAGAGCCATGGGCAGGACAGCCGCAAGCGCAGCAGGAGGAAGCGTGCGTCAGCTGGAACCCCCAACCTCAGTGCGGGTGTGTCCCCCAAACGCCGAGCCCTGCCAACCGTTGCTGGTCTCTTCACACAGTCTTCAGGGTCCCCCCTCAACCTCAACTCCATGGTGAGTACAGGACACATCAGGGTAAGGTGGAGGAGCACTGTCTGGGGGCAGGGACTATGGTTAGCTGTGCAGGCTTGCTTGCCTCCTTCCTGTGTACACCCTCACAGTCTGGAGATTTCTCCGGGTCAGTCATACCCTGAGACTCTGGTCTGAAGCAGTAGCCTTGGGGCCTCTCAGAACATGTGTCTTGAACTCACCTACTCTTCTCTGGCATTGCAGGTCAGCAACATCAACCAGCCCCTGGAGATCACCGCCATCTCATCCCCTGAGAACTCACTGAAGAGCTCCCCCATCCCCTACCAGGACCACGACCAGCCCCCGGTGCTCAGGAAGGAGCGGCCTCTAGGCCAGACCAATGGGGCCCACTACTCACCACTGACCTCAGATGAGGAACCAGGCTCCGAAGATGAACCCAGCAGCACTCGGTGAGCTGGACCAACACTGCACTTTCCCACCTTTGTCTCACTGGTGCTGGGTGCTGAGCGGCTTTCTTGGGTGGGATCCTATGCCATGAGGTGGCCACCTGCGTGTAGCTCACTGTGCAGGTAGTTAAGCATTGATGAGTTCCCACCTGCCCCTCTGCTGCTGTGTGTGTGTGTGCCTGCGTGAGACCTGCTAACACTTAGCTCTTGGCACCACCTAGCAGTTAGGAATATCCCTAGTGTCCTTTTCACAAGGATCTGATGGCCCTGCTGGCCCATGAAGTAGACCATTGCACACCATCATGTACCACCATACACCATTGCACATCATTGGTGAGCATGGTGCTGCCTATGAGCAGGGCTCTGTTGTAGCAGCTCTGGTCTGGGCAGGTGTTGGAACACACACGTCTCCATGTACCCTGGTCCCCTACTGAGGCCCAGGCGGACATTCTGAGATCCCCAACCAAGGCAGCCTGTGCATAGCTCAGGACCCCAGGACCACCAGCCACCAACCTTGGCCTAGTTCCATTCAGGCGTCCTCCCCTGTGAGATCTGAGAGCAACCTCTGGACCCCTTGCTTCCAGAGCCATGCAGCGCCAGGTGCCGCCCTCTCGGGTTGTACTTGGGCTCAAACATGAATGACTATTTTCCTTAACAGAATCGAGAGAAAAATTGCAACAATCTCCTTAGAAAGCAAGTCTCCTCCGAAGACGCTGGAAAATGGTGAGCATTTATGGGATTGACTGTTGCCTGTAGGAAATGGGGTGACTTGGGCCTTGCCACTCCCGGCTGCTTGCATGGCTACTGTGACCCTCTCAGGTAGGCCAGGCCAGAGGGACCTCCCACTACCTCTCTGGGTCCAAGGTGGGCACACCCCATTACAGAAAGCCACTAGTTCAGCATGGAGAGCCACCTCACGACTGCCTTCTCCTGTCAGGTGGTGGCCTGGTGGGACGGAAGCCAAGCGCCAGTGAGCCTGTAAACAGCAGCAAGTGGAAATCTACTTTCTCACCCATCTCTGACCTGGGCTTGGCCAAATCCGTGGACAGCCCGCTGCAGGCCGGGCCTGCCCTGACCCAGAACTCCCTGTTCTCCTTCCGGCCAGCCCTGGAGGAGCCCACTGCTGAGCCCAAGCTCTCCACCCACCAGAGGAAGACCTTCGCTGGCTCCCTGTCTGCAGTGGATGGGCTGAGCCCAGGGGCCAACCCTCCCAATGGCCTGGCCTTCAGCTCAGGTCTGGCTACCGACCTCAGTTTACACAGCTTCCACGAAGGTGCTTCTGTCCCTCACAAGGGCCCTGAGGCCTCGCTGAGCTTCCCCTCACAGCGGGGCAAGGATGGTGCCCCAGAGGCCAACCCCTTCCTCAGCAAGCGGCAGCTGGAGGGCCTGGGTGGCCTGAAGGGTGAGGGCAGCTTGGGCAAGGAGCCAAATGAGGGCCTGCCCCTGTGCGGGCCTGTGGACAAGGCTGTGCTGCCCCACAGCAACAGGGCTGGCAAGGGCCGAGACCGCGAGCTGGACTTCAAGGGCGGCCACAACCTCTTCATCTCTGCTGCAGCTGTGCCTCCGGGTGGCCTCCTTGGCACCCCCAGCCTTGTGACCGTGGCCACCTCTGCAGGCAGTGCAACACCTGCTGCCCAGGCACACCGGCCCTTCCTGAGCACCTTCACACCTGGGCCCCAGTTCACCCTGGGCCCAATGTCCCTACAGGCCAACCTGGGTTCAGTGGCTGGCTCATCTGTGCTTCAGTCTTTGTTCAGCTCTGTGCCAGCTGCAGCGGGCCTGGTGCATGTGTCATCTGCTGCAACCCGACTGACCAACTCACACACCATGGGCAGCTTCTCCGGTGTGGCTGGCGGAACCGTTGGAGGTAGGCAGAGGAGAGCCTGGGGTGCAGTCCAGGGGTGCAGGGCTCCCCACTGGCGGCTCTACAGGTTCCTCCCATGCTCTCTAAGGGCGCAAGAGGACCAGGGCCCAAGTCCTTTCTCAACCAGGCAGGCCATCGTCATCGCTGTGTGGCTGGACGACAGGCCACTCTAACGCATCCCTCTTGTTTTCAGAAGACCATGGTGTACTAAACTAGGGCAGTCCTTTCTGCCAGGGCATCCCCTGTTTGAGGTGACCACCCATGTGCCCGTGGCCGGTCCATGGAAGCCAGCTTGGCGCCAGAATGAGCCCGAGAGCCACCTGCTCAGACGCAGGGGCCAGGCATGGCAGTCCTGGCTGGGCAGGGGCGGGCAGGTGGGCCCGAGGGGCGGGGCCTCGGCCTGCAGGTAAGTGTCCAGCTGAGCCCTGCTTGCTGCTTGTGCCTGCGCTCACCTCACTCGCTTGGATGGAGCCGCACTGTCTGCTTCTCCTGCTTCGCCTGGAGCGTGCCGCCTGTTGAAGCTGCGTTTTCTCTCCTGTTCACAGGTGTCTTTACCCACGCGGTGCCCTCCGCCTCTGCTCACCCGTTCGGAGCCGGTGTCGGCGGGGCTGTGTGTAGCAGCGCCACGCTGGGTCTGAGCCCGCTGCAGGCGGCGGCCAGCACCTCGGCCTCTTCCTTTCAGGCCAAGGCCTCGGGCGAGACCCGGCCACCCCCTCCACCTCCCCTGCTTCCTCCTCAGCACTTGGGCAGGCCCCCTGCGAGGCCACCCGTCCTCCATGCACCCCCTCCACCTAATGCCACCTTGCCTCCTCCTGCGCTGCTGGCCTCTAACTCCGAGCCTGTGCTCCTGCAGAGCCTGGCTTCCCTCCCAGCTAACAAAGCTTTCTTATCCCCTTCCTCGGCTGCCTCTCTGCAGCCTGCTAACGCCTCTCTGTCTGTGAAGCTCACCTCCCTCCCGCACAAGGTCTCCCGCCCCTCCTTCACGGTGCACCACCAGCCCCTGCCCCGGCTGGCCCTGGCGCAGACCGCGCCCGCCGCCCCACAGGCTGGCTCCTCGGGGCCATCTGCTGTGTGGGTTTCCCTTGGCATGCCGCCTCCTTATGCCGCGCACGTTTCGGGGGTTAAGCCTCGATAGAGACCTTGCTTAGCTAGCAGTTCCTATGCTGGAAGGTAAGGCTAGAGCCAGATGAGGGGCTTCACTGGGGAAGCGTGTCCCCCTCCTGCCCAGAAGAGGCCCAGCAGGGCTTAGCAGAGGCCGGGGTCCAGAGTGGTGCAGAGGGAGGCTCAGGGCCACCTGAGACCACAGCTGGGGGTGAGGCCAAACTCAGCTTGGCGGGCCAGGGCCCACCTGATGTTACTAGCACTCCAGCCTGCCTGCCCAGGGGAACCAGGGGTAGTCAGTGGGTAAGGCCACCAGGGTAAGCCAGGAATAGAGACAGTGATGGTCTGGGCCCAGAGCAGACGAGGAACAGAGCTGCTTAGGCAGCATGGGAGGCCTTCACAACAAGCGATGTGGGTTTCCCTTGGCATGCCGCCTCCTTATGCCGCGCACGTTTCGGGGGTTAAGCCTCGATAGAGACCTTGCTTAGCTAGCAGTTCCTATGCTGGAAGGTAAGGCTAGAGCCAGATGAGGGGCTTCACTGGGGAAGCGTGTCCCCCTCCTGCCCAGAAGAGGCCCAGCAGGGCTTAGCAGAGGCCGGGGTCCAGAGTGGTGCAGAGGGAGGCTCAGGGCCACCTGAGACCACAGCTGGGGGTGAGGCCAAACTCAGCTTGGCGGGCCAGGGCCCACCTGATGTTACTAGCACTCCAGCCTGCCTGCCCAGGGGAACCAGGGGTAGTCAGTGGGTAAGGCCACCAGGGTAAGCCAGGAATAGAGACAGTGATGGTCTGGGCCCAGAGCAGACGAGGAACAGAGAGCTGCTTAGGCAGCATGGGAGGCCTTCACAACAAGCGAGCGGGTACTTGAGTGCCATGGTTAGCCCTGGCCTTCCGCAGGTCCCTAGTCAACCCTTCCTGACGAGAAGCTCTGAAAGCCTGCCTGGCTATGGTCTTGGTCATAGGGCCCTGTCCTATAAGGGAATAATCAGGTGGCAGCCAGGAGCAGAGGCTGCTGCATTGTCACGCGGCAGGCAGGCAGGCACCAGGCCATGGGGAGGCAGCAGCCTGGCACAGCACCATCCGGCCCACTCCGAGAGCTCCTGGGTTGGGCGGACCCATCCTTGTGGCCCCTAGCCAGGCACAGGTGGAGGGAGCACCCCATCCTGTGTCTTGTCAAGCGGCTCAGCCCGCGGTGGGTGTGTTCAGATGTGACTTTGCCCCACGTAGGTGGTGTGGGTCCAGATTACACAGCTGTCCCCCCTTTTTTTCGCAGGTAACTAGGATTCCTACCTCAACCGCGACTATGCAAGGACGGGCGGACCAATCTGCTGCCGGTACCCGCGCCAAGCCCAAGACGCGGGAGCGCCACTGTGAATCAGCAGCACCGCAGGAGGTGCTGGACTGGTCCAGTTTGTACTGTCGGTAGTTTTAGATAAAGTATTTATCATTTTTTAAAAGTATAAGCAATTCTGACTTATTTTATTCCACCGAAGTCGTCCAAGGCAGCCTCATGAGACTCAAGTGTCTGTGAGTTTGTAGATTTGGCCTGTGGGACTGGCCGCCAGAGGACGCCGACGACTCCGCCGGTGCTATCGCCTCCAGGCCGTACTGCTCCACCTCCCTGGGTGCTGAGCCACCAAACAGTTCTCAGATACCTGCCGATCCCATACCAAAGGCGCATCCAATGGGGCTGCACTGCCTGTGGTCACTGTGAACTCCCAGCTGTCAACCGTGGCTTTGGGCATGCCTTGGCAGGGGCGGGTGGGCATGGGTGCCTGGGGCCCAGCTGGCTGCATGGTGCTGACACAGCAGAGGCTCGTGGCTTGGGTGACAAGTGCATTTACTTTTGTATTCCTTTGCTTTTCTGGCTCTAGGCACGCTGGCCAGGTGACACAGGGCTGGCCCACTGCAGGTCCCCTGGCATATGTGTATAAGAGGGTCACATGGATGTGACGATATTTTATAGAGATGTGATGAAAATTTATAAATTTCATAGATTTGACTGCATTTATTTTTAGATTGTATAATGCACAGTGAACTTAAGTGAGGAAGAAAAATCCTTTATTTATTCAAATGCACAAAAAAATGGCACTGGCCTGGGACCCTGCAGGAGTGCAGCCCAGACATGCTGGGCTACCCAGGGCCTCTGGTCACTGCATCTGTGCAGGTCCCCAAGGCTGCTATGGGTGCTTCAGGCCTGCCTTGTGTCCCTGAGCAGCCTCCTGATGCTGAGGACAGTGTGCTGAGTGTGGCCAGAGGGGTGGGTCCTGACTGACCTCCAGGCCTGCAGTTGGGGATCAGGGAGGGGCGCATGCCCATAGCAGCCTGGCCTCAGGACCCACCCCTCCCATGCTGAAGATGGTGCTGGTGCCTCTCCCCTCCCTCCTCCCCTCCCACCTTGTTGGTGCTCTCCCTGGGTCTGTAGGTGCTGTGCCCCTTGTCTGCGTCTGCCACAGCTGTCTAGGGCACCCCTGGTGGCTGCTAGCAAAGTTAGCAAGTCCCCAGCCTGGAACTAAACACTTGAGTGAACACTGTACACACCACCTGCCACCCAGGCAGCTGCTGCTCCCCTGCCCCCTCCACCCTACCTGAGTGTTGGGGGCAGACACTGCTACGAGGCCCCCACATCCCAGTGCCAGGCCACAGGTGCTCCCAGGCACAACCACAAGTCCCCTCCTAAGCCCACAGGGGACAGGCAGAACCCACAGTAAACTCACCATGGTGCATGGTGCCTCCAGGTATTGAGGCTGACCTGGCCAGCACTAGGCTGCCTCAGCGGTCCCTGCCATGCTACTTGGGGCCATGGGGGCTTGAGCTCAGGAACTGACAGGAAGCCCTTTGGACTGGGACCCACTCCCACACTAGCCCACTCATGGGGACAGTTTAATACTCTTACCCTGAACAGTTCTTCTTGCTGTCCAACTTTCAGTTGTAACTCGCAGCTTGGCTTTGTCTTGCAATGACCTCTATACTTAAAGGTGTGTTGTTCTGTCCCCTGGTCCCCCCAGGGTGTCCACTGTTGTTGCCACCTCTACACGATGTAATAAAAACCGTTTTCACTTGAACCCAGTCTCAATGCCAGCCTTTCTTCACCAGCATTGTCTGACATGGTGAGGCACCATGCCTACCTTCTTTGATGACCTCTACCCACAAATGATATGGGGAAGGTCACTTTAGGGAGACCCAGTCCTGGCTGAGCCAAGGTCCCTGGACAATGTTCCTTGGACTGCTCAAAGCCTGTGGGCATGGGTCCCTACCACATGCTCACAAAGTTGGCCATCTCCCTCAGGGCATCTGACCTGTATGGACTACCATGAGACCCAGCAGGGCTTCTCATCTCCTCACAGTGAGGTTGCCCAGGGCCTTCCCCTCAGGTCTACCTGGAAGGGAGCCCGTATCCCTGGTATCACCAGTGTGTGTATGTACACGAGGAGAGTCACTTTTTCTACCACGTGGGCTCCTGGAATTGAATTATGGTCCTTAGGCTTTCGCAGTAAGCCCCCTTACCAGCTGAGCCATCTTGCTAGCCTGTCCTCTTCCCCACCTGGGTCCCCTCCTCGCCCCACTTACTTCACCAAGTGCCTTGGAAAAGAGGTACCTTTATTAAAGAGCAGGCTCAGCACCTGAAGTCCAGCGCCATGGCCTGCCCTGTGAGCAGGAGTGAGGTTCACAGCTGGCTGAGGGAACCCTCACTATTCACAGCTTTATCTAACATACATTCATCTGGCAATGGACAGGGGAGCATACCAGCCTCAGTCCCTGGTATGGGCACTTGAGTAATGGTGGCAGGGAGATGGCAGACCTTTGCTGGGTCCAAGGCACAGCAAAGGGGAACTGCTGGGTTGTCCAAAGCCACAGCCCCAACCCACCTCCACCGGGCCTTGGACAAAAGTCTTTAAGCCTAAACACCTCCCATCGAAAACCCAGCGCAGGGGGCCCAGCAAGTCAGTCCAGTGTGTCCAGCTGCGAGCCAATGCAAGCCGTCCGCCCATTCCTTGGCAGGCTGTTTAGCTTAAACCTGGCCTCCTCTGAGATGCCAAACTGCTCCAGGGGGTCCTGTGCAGGACATGGTAATTGAGTCAGGGGGTCAGGCCAGGAGGGCCATCCCATCCCTCTGCCCCCCACACACCTTGCCTGTCATTTTCTTGATTTCATTCCTGTAGAAGATGAGGCTTCGTCGCATGTACTCGTAGCTAAGGGACAGGGACAGGCTGGCTGGTCAGCTTCCCCATGCTTCCACCCTGTTCTCAGCCATCCCCAGCTCTTGGCCATCCCCAAGCCCCACCTGGCTTGGCGGAGGGCCTCTATCCACTCCTTACACTGCTCCTGGCTGCAGCACTCAAAGCGGTATTTCCTTTCGGGGTCCTCCAGGAAGCCTGGGAGGGAAGGGAGCCACCACTGGTCAGTCCCCACTTGGTCCAAATCACACTGGCCACAAGCCCCAGCTTTCTATCACCAAGAACCCTAACTGCCCCTTGTTTGGCCCCAACCCTGCCTGTCACAGGTTCCACAGTCCTGACCCCTGAAGGGGAGCCCATTGGGAAATAGGCTCATCGTGTAAGATTTACATTAAGGTGGACCTTAAATAGGACAGCTGCTGTCATTATAAAAGGGAGAAATCAAAACAGGACGAGGGAGATGGCTCACTTGTTGCCCATACGTGAGGATTTGAGGTCAATCCCCAGCACCTACTAATGAAAAGCAGGGTGTTAGCCAGGCATGGTGGCACCTGCCTTTACTCCCAGTACCCGGGAGGCAGAAGCAGGTGAATTTGAGGCCAGCCACAACTACATAGTGAGAATTGTCTCAAAAAAAAAAAAAAGGCAAGTACACCTATAATCTGAGTGGGAGAGGCAAAGACAGGAGGATCCCTGGGGCTTGCTGGGGGGCAAGCCTAAAAATAACAAGCCCCTACCTCAATAATAATAATAATGGGGCTGGTAAGATGGCTGAGAGGGTTATGGCAAAGTGCTGCCAAGCCTGATAATCTGACAATCCCTGGGACACCTACAGTGGAAAGAGAGAACCAACTCCCCAAAGTTGTCTTCTAAACTCTTTGGCATGTGTGCATCCACACACCTACATACATACACACACACAAATAAAACACTTTTTAAGTGGAAAGAGATTGAGGAGGGTACCCAATACTGACCTGTGGCCTACACACACACACACACACACACACACACACACACACACACACAGGGAAAAATAGGGACACGGGCACAGATGGGAGGAAGCCGGTGGGATGAAGAAGGCAGAGATGAAGTAGGGGAAACCTAAAGCTAGCCAGGGGTGAGCCTGGGACAAGCGAAGGATACAGCTCTGCCCACACCTTGACCTGGGCAGAAAACTGTTTCAGCTATCCAAACCATCAGGTCAGCCAGTTTACACCCTGGATAGGCATAGGCTCCATCTTCGCCGATAGACCTGACTCGATAGCAGGTTCTGAGAAAGCGGGCGAAAACAAAGAATGTATGGATTGGGACCAATCTCGGTGGCGTTTTGAACCACAGCTGGGGCAGCCCTGGGGTCCCCAGGGAACGCGGGATCCCAGACAAATGGGAGGCTCCTGGGGAAAGAGCAGGAGGGAGACAGGTGCACCCAGAAAAACCCAGCTATCCAAGGACTCTGGTGTCCCGGGAGGGGACCGTGGGGACCAGCAGGCACTTACTGATAGAGAAGCCGCCGGGCTCTTCAGGGACCACTCTGCAGCGCTCCAGCAACAGGGCTCCGAGGGGCTGCGCGAGACACGGCCGTGAGCTCCCGCCGCCGGCTCGCGAGCGGCCC